ACAACGCTCGCAGCTCGCGCAGCCATCCCGCTCTTCAAGAAGAGATTATGGCTTTCTCATAATTCCCTTCCCTCTCCTGCAGGTCTCCTGCCAAGTCTTCTTGGTGTCTGAGCTCGGGTGCTTGCAGTTCTGCAACCCCCAGTGGCATACGTCTGTAACAGCCACTGTAGATAGTCTGTTTTGAGGCGCATGACATCGGGATAGCAGTGATGCTCTGCCAGACGGATAGCCTCATCGTACCTCAAGTTAAGCTCGTCTTGCGAAAGTTGGCTCAGTCAGGACATGGCGAATGACTCTAGCCGCCTCCTCACTTGTGAATGCTTTGATACATGCGTATGGCATCTTCAAGATGACCATGCTCAATGTAAACTTCCTCTGCTATAGAGAACTGCTTCTTCATCACAGCAATAGCAGCCATCACAGTTGGATGATGTAGCCCGCTGTCAATGTCTGGTAATCACCATTGTGATAGCAGGTACGGTTGCCACCAAGTCACCTTTCACATCACCCGCACAACTCCGTGCCAGGCGCTGAATCTTCCGCAATTCCCTGTGAAGCCAAGACATTCTCGAATACCGAGTGGAATCCATTATCGGACCTGCTCATCTCAACTTCTCCTAGAACAGCGTAGCAGCGTTCGGCCACAGGCAGGCAAAGTGCGTTCAAAGCAACCAATCCTAATTGGCGCCACATACCTGACAAGTAGACGTGGACAGTAGAGGAGAGAATGCTCCTAGTATACCTGTGGTCTCTGGTCCAAGTGGGAGGTATTCCAAGACATCAACAGCCATCGCGAAGTGGCCACGTTCCACAGAAGCAGAAAAGTTAATGAGGGCCTCATCAAGTTCATACTCGACCTACTCATTAGTGTTGCGAGAACAATGATTATGATGTCATACCTGATTGTTGGGCGACTCGTCGACGACAACGACCGTCCGCCCATTGGCACGGATGATGTCTTCGATATCCCCTTTGATTGCATGCTTTGTTATCCTATCTGGGGTTGCTATTGAATACCTGAGGGG